ACATAAAAAAAAAAAAAAAAAAAAAAAAAGTCAATAAGCCAATTGTTTTAAAAATAGAAAGTGTGATAAGAAAAAAGATTTCATTCACAATAGCAACAAAAATTAGAAAATAGTCATCAAAAAACCACCAACACACAACTAATAAGATATGTATATGAACTACAAGAAAAAGCTATAAAACCTGGACAAAGACCTGAAGAGTAGGACTTAATGTTGTCAAGATAACAATTGTCCCCAAATTACCCATAGATTCAGTACATTTCCAGTACAACAAGAACTGATCAACAGTTCAGTGGGAAAGAAGAGAGAACCCAGAAATGAGGTTTAGTGTGTTATAAAGATAGGATTATAAAACAAAAAGGGAAAGAATAAACTCTTCAAATCTAGATAGATTTAGGAGAGAGGAAAAAACGTACTAGCAAACTATTAACAGAAAATATATAGAAGACCAGGCTTATGACCTTGGGGGTAGGAAAGGTTTGAAATAATACACCAAATGCAAAAGCCATAAAGAAAAAGATTGAAGAAGATTAATAAGCTTTACTTTACCAAACTTTATTCAACAAAAGAAACTCAAAATGAGAGTAAAATTCCAGTGGTGGAGAGGACAAGAACACTGTAACATTTAGAGCAAAGGACCTGCCCTTATAGGTCCTGAGGAAAAAGACAAACAAAATAGAAAAATGGGCAAAGACTATGAACAGGCAATTCAAAAAAAAGGAAACAGGAATGGCAAACATTTGAAAAGATTTTCAATCTCACCAGTTTGGGGGGAAATGCAAATAAAAACAAAGGGGCATCATTTTTTCACATATTTGAATGAGAATAGATAAGAAAGACTGATATCAAGTGTTGGCATAGGTGTTGAAAAAGAGGCGCTCTCTTATACCATTGCTGGGAACATAACCTGGTCGAGTCCTTCCAACTGTAGCCGCTTCTATCTTTTGACTCAGCAATCTCACATCTCCACATCCACCCTAGAGAAATACTTACGTATGGACACAAAGGAAGCTGGTACCAGGTTGCTCACCGAAGTACTATTTGTAGTAGTAAAAACTCAGAGCAACCTAAAAACTTAGAGCAACCTAGATCTTCAAAAGAGGGACAGTTAAATAAACAGTGATGCATCTGAGTTCTGCAAGAGTATGCAGCCGTTGGAAAGAATGAGAACACACTGACAGAAAAAGCTCTGAGACATGGTTAAATTCAAAAGGAAGAACCTCAAATTTAAAAAGTTACATCAAATCTTTCAAAACAAGAAAGCAAGTTGAAGAACCATCCAGACTTTATGATACCATTTTCTCTCCAAATCTGTGTGTGTACACACCTATACACATGCATATGTACACAAATACATTACAATAAATAATACAAATATTTAAGAACCTGAAAAGATAAAAAGATACACTCCACATGGCAACCAGTGGTTGCCCAAATAAAGAACCTGACATGGAGGTGGGAGGAGGGGTAGAAAGAAAAAATTTTAATTTACCTCTAACGTGTGATTTCTTTTTTAAAGATCTCTTGCAGCTTTATGAATGCAGATAATCACTCTGACTTGGAAAAAGCCCTTCCCTCTTGTAAAGTCCTGCCCCGGGTCCGGCATCTGGCCCCTGCGCTACATTCCAGACTAGCTGCATTCCTGGTGAGGCGGTGACTCAGCTGAGTGTGCCCCAGGCCAGGCCGGGCACAGCAACTCTGTGCCTCAGTCCCGGCCAACACTCGGCCAGGCAGACCATGGGCAAATCAGCTTCAGTTCCTTTCTCTGATCAGCTCAGTTAAGGAACAGTTACTTCACTGCGGCGAGGAGGGCGCAAGCCCATGGCCACACTGTGGGCTGCCTCCTGTCAGTGAGGAGGTGGAAAATTCAGAGGAAATGCTTGTCGATTTTGTGCACTGCTCACAGCAAACGGGCGGGCCGGGGATACCATTGCTGGAAATTTTTCAGTGCAGTCAAGTGTTCTTGCCCATCTGGCAGACTATGTCCACTTCTCCTTGCACTCTTTCTGGGTAATTAATTGCACGGCAGAACAAAGTGGCCCTTCACCCCGTGGAGGAGGCCCTGGAAAGACGATCCATAGACGACAAAGAGAGATTGAACTGGGAAGGGGCACCCAAATGCTGTGAACAGCCTCCTAAAAAGAGTGCCATGAATAGAAACCTTACTTGCCAGTCAGTGGCGTCTGAAAAGGAGAAGCTGGCACGTAAAAACCAGCTGTGTAAACCCTACAGCTTACAGGGTACAGCTGACCACGTCGCACTACTTCCTAAACCCTGCAGTCCCTCCTCCTTTCTCCT